CCCCCCCCCTCCGCTTCTTCAAGTTACGCTCGACTGTCCGAATATTCACCAATTTCCAAGTATGAGGGTTAGTTAAGCTTTTACTGTTAAAGGATGAAAATGGAAAAATTTGCATGAAGCAAATTTCTGTCTTCTGATCAGAAATGTTCCTCTTTTTACTTAAATTACTTTGCTTGCAATCTTGTTAAGAGAAAACTGATATACAGTGAAAATTAGAAAATGTTCAGAATTTAAATTAATTAAATATCAATATGAGTTGGAAAATAAATTGTGTTTATTATTAGGTTCCAAGCGAATACAATAAATATGCCTTATTATTATTTATTTTCTGTATTTTGAACTGAAATTTCATCATTAAATCTTGTAATATAGCTTAGTTCTTCATAGTTTTTTCCCCTCTCATTGTAAACTAGTTCTGTAAATTGAACTATTATTTAAAATTAAAAACAAAAAAAAGTAATTATTTTCCATGGTTGAGGTAATACTTATTCTCTCTTAATAAGTACTTCATTTCTCATATTTTAAATTACAAGTATTAATTTTTAAGGTTATGCAATTGTGTATGATGTAATTAGGCAGGTGCTTATTTTTTTTTTCTTAAAATGTGCTTTGAAAGTGCTTATAGGTGCTTATGTTTTTAACTAAAATGTGGCTATGAACCCTGGCACAAATGACTGCACTTGGGCTTACATAAAGCCAACACTTTGGCTTAACTCAAAACAGGTAATGATGAACTAAAAATATAAATAAATTTAGCATAATGGCTCATAGGATAATTTAATGTGCAAGAAGGTTGTGACTGATAGAAGGCGGTGGAAACAAGCCCAATTTCTTAAAGCACTCATTGCGACAGCACTTGAATCGCTAGTAACTGAAAATAGCTACATAGCCTTCAAGCAGGCATAACATGTTCTCTGTAACTGAAGTCACCTTCCAAAACCTTTCCTTAAATAGCACTTCTTTCTACCTCATTCTAAATTTAAATATACAAAAAAGATGCTCTTAAGAACCTCGTTCTGGAACTTTTATTCAATTTCCTATCTAAAAGTTTCAGAGCAAACTTTTTACAATAACATGAAATTTTATAAGTCTAAAAAAATTTATTTTTGTGTGTGTTTACAAAAAGATCTGGATTCTTTTTCACAAGGTACAACTTTTCAGCAGCTTGCAGCCTCTGGAAGAAAAAGGCTTTAGAAAAAAAAAAAAAATAAAAAAAATAACCACTTTAGGTAAAACTAGCAGCCAGTCCTGGATATAAAATAAAACTGAACATTACTAAAGTAAAAATAAAATTGCACTTTTCTTTCTAAGCTTTTAAAGGCTTCCATTCCCCTTGTCACAAAGTCATTCCACATAGGGTAGGTCTTTGTTTGTCAAACTCAAGACCATAGCCAGTGCTGATTCCCCCCCTCATCCACTGTATTTTGCTTCACGGAGGGCCTTCATGGAATCTCGGCTCCCCCCCTCAGAGTTGAGGGCTTTCTGTTCCGCTTGCTTCGGTGGCGTAGAGTTCCCCCGTAGACCCTCCCTTCCATAGCTCAGGCATTCAAGAATGTTGGACTTTCCTTGGAGTCTGAGGCTTATTCAGCTAGCTACTTGTTCCTTAGCCATCCTGATGTTGGTACCTATCCACTGCTGGAACTTTTCACCAGAGTTTTTGTGTAATTTGGTTCACCTTTGGTAGTTTTCGTCAACTTCTGGATTCATTGCATTTTAACATCTTGGTCTTTCTTGTTTCTGTTTGCTTCCTATGTTTATTTTACTTGGTCCTCTATATTCGCAGTTGTCTTTTTCCAGAGGGCATTTGTACTTAAATAATTGCCTGCTTGCCCCCCACTGCTCCATGAGGCATTCGCGTTGCCTGCTTTATTTCCTGTAAAATATCTTTAAAACTTTCCATGTTAATTTTTTATTATAGTATAGTTTAATTTGGTCCACATGTGCCATTAATTGTTCCCCCATCTTTCAAACACACCACAGCTTCCCTAATTCTTTGTACGGTCTTTGAATTAGAGGAAAAAATTTGGCTACTCGTTCTTCACATGGCATTAATAGTGAATGCTTGATTTAAGAACTTGTTCACCCACTTTATAATTGACGTCCCTCCGATTTCTGTCACAGTACGTCTTTTGTTTCTCCTTTGCCATGTCTCAATTTTTAACTGCTTCATCTGCTATCTTTTCGATATCTGTCATTTGAAATTTCGGGGCTCTGTTTCGTGCAAACATTAATTTGTCCAGTGGCATAATTAACTTATAGCCTAAAAATAGCTCGGCTGGAGTTTTCCCTGTTGTATCATTTATTTTGTTGCAGGGATATGTCTCCAACATGACAATGTCGACCAGTTTTTTAGGAATGTAGGATTTATATTTTTTAAGTACGCAGCCAGGCTATAGTTATTTATATTTTTTAGTACGCAGCCAGGCTATAGTTATTTGTATTTTTTAAGTATGCGGCCAGGCTATTCACAATATTTGGTAGTTAATTTCATTATTTAACTACCAAATATTGCGTGACCTGACATAATGCAGTTACGAACTTCTGTAACTGCAAAAAATACACCACCTCACAAACTTGTGTTGTTTTCCTGATTCGTTATTGGCTGCATGGGCATTTTCATGGTTTTTCCCATGTGTAACGTGTATACGAGCCAGTTCCCTTAAAAAGTTCTCCACGAAGGCATTCCACTCTTTAGACAGATAGCCCTCGAGGCTTTGCCATAATCAGACACACACATACTTTATTGGCCGGACATGAGAATCATGTAATTCATTTAGAATATTTAACCTTAATCTGTTCAGAACCAACGTCGCGTTGGCACGACTCGATGATTCCATTCCTACCACCAGGCCAGCATCTCTTCTTATATGTCGGGAGTGGGGTTTGAATGCCAATAACAAGAACGATGGAAAAACAATTAAGGCAGTTGAAATCAGCCTCTGCCTTGTTAAAAGATGAAAGCTGTGAAAGAAAAGATGGATGCTGGTCAAGAAAAGATTGAAGCAGGACAAGAAGAGAGAAAAAAAGAGAAATTGCCTGCATAATAGGAAACAAATTTGAGTCTGTGGAAGGCAGAATTGATGCTGTTGAAAGTAAAGTTGGATAAATTCAAGAAGAGTTTCTTCTCTGAAAGAACAAATAGAGAGAGAGTTTCTACTGTGGAGCAACGAATCAAAGGAAGAGTGTGCTGTGGAGCAATGAATTGAAGGAAGAGTTTCAATCATCCAACAGCGAATTGAACAACAAATTGTTGACAGCATTTCTGCAGTAACCAAAGAAGTTAATAGTTTAAAGAAATTCGTAGTGATGGCAGGAAGCAATTTGGATGGCTTTAAGTTTCTACCCATGCCTACTTGTCAGTTTTTGAAGCTATCCACATAGGATGGGAAGTCCTCTTCTCAAGTATATAAGACACTTTTCTATAGTGGTGGAAGAAAATGAATGGGATCCCCAAGCAAAGGCTTGTCTGAGAGCAGACGCTGCGAATATTCTTCAAACGCTTCCAGAAAATCAGGGACTAGATTTCAAAGCTCTATCCGGTGCATTGGAGCTGCGCTTTTGCAAGAAATGTCGGCAGGCTTCAATTAAAATCCCATCAACAGAAACCCACGGAAACACTCCAGGAGCTTGCCACAGATGTTGAAGAGCTGTCCAACCTCACCTGAGTGCCCAACAGAAACAAGGGAAATCCTGTCCCTGCAATACTTTATCGATGGCATCTGGGATCCAGAAATACAGAAAACTCTATGAATGGTGGATGTTGACTTGAAAAGCACTGTAGTGTACTCCTTGAAATTTGAGTCGGCCCAGCAACTCGTAGAGACCACCACCGAGTCAGAGCTGCTCAAGTCCAAAAGCTAGAGGACCAAATGGCTGCATGTTTAGATGATTTACTCGATGCCTTGAGACGAAATATCAATGACAAGAAATCAACCTTAAAATGCTGGAACTGTGGAGCTGAAGGACACATACGACAAAACTGCAGAATACCCCAGGGCATGGATAACAAGCAGCAGGGAAACTAATTAATGGCCATATCGCGGAGTGGATGTTGCCAGATAATGAAAAGCCCCAGATTAAGCGCTTCAGATTTCTGCAGTGAGAGACAGCAGTAATGGACTTTTCATAATAGGGCATAATGGAGTTCCCTGCAATATGATGATAGATGCAGGAGCCAACGTTACCATCATTCAAAAAGATTTGGCTCTATAACTAAGAAGCATAAGAAGCAAAATTATACGGACGCCGCCCTGCGCTACTGGCGGACTGTGTCCGATGAGAAGATCGATATAGATGGAAGTTTGAATGTTAACATCGCGTTTGGAAGTGCTGCCAGCATCACACCGCATATGTGGCAGATATTACAGATTCTTGCATACTCGGATTGGACTTAAGATGATGAAGACTTGGAGATTAAGGAAATACAATTTTTTCTTGGACTTTAACAAATTGCATTCTGCATCTGAGGACATAACCCCTATTTGGAATTAATAATGAAGGAGTTAAATCTATTCACAATAATATAGCTCAAGACAATATCACAGTACCATTGAGAACACAAATTTTACTTCCTGTATCCAAAGCTAAAAATAGAAATTTCCGCTAAGGCGTCATGGATTATCCCACGAATTGCAATAGCCCAAAGGGCTCATCGATTAGTTGAGGACCGTTATCCAGGTGTGAGTTGCCAATATAACTGACAAGTCAAGAGTTATTAAGACAAGTGAAGTATTGCAGCATGTACTTTGGTGACCAGTATTAAATGAGAGTAACACCCCAGAATCTGTCTCTTCAGAAAGCACTACATCAGAGCTACTGCAGAATTCGCAATTAAACTATGAAGAGGGAATGCTGCCGATCTTGTTATTCAGTATCTTAAAGATGTTTTCTCTCACTCGTCTTCTGACGTGGGTCGAACCAGTTTAACACAACGCAGAATCGATACCGGTGATCATCTCCCGATTAAGCAACATGCAAGACATCTACTGTTTGCTAAACAGGAAGAGTTACTAACACTTTTAAAGGATGTAGAAAGAGGTGATGTCATCGAGCCTTTAGCAAGTCTATGGGCATCTCCCATCGTCCTCGTCAGAAAGGAAGACGGCTCAACAAGATTTTCCGTTGACTATTACCGGTTAAATGAGGTTACGAAGAAAGACAGTTACCCTCGTCCTAGAATTGCCGAAATTCTAGACATTCTTTCTGGAAGCAAGTGGTTCTCAACACGTGATTTAAAAGAGTGGGTATTGGCAGGTAGAAATACATCCTGATGACCGAAAAAAGACGACATTTACTACGGGACAAGGCCTTCGCAGAGTTGCCAACTCATACGATTTAGGTGGAAGACTCCCGATTTCTGACCATACTCCCGCCAACCCGATTTTTAACGTGTTTCTCATGATTTTTATGTAACTTGGCGTAACCCTTTCAGGACGGGTGTCCCATATATGCATTCGCTAAGAATGTCTCTTACAGCTGGCCGTCCCATCCACGCATCGCTAGAGATTGCGTTCAGAATGACGGGTGATGCGTATGCGCATTTTAAGCTGGAACGTTTTTCTGGAGGCCACTAGATGGCAACCCATGTCCATTAATTTTGAAATGAACAGTTTTAAGTTCCTGACCTTGAGTTTGATATAGTCTGCTTGACTTTTTGGTATTTTACTCATCAGCTCTTGCAAGTGTGGGGGAGAGGGAAAACGTAAACGGAGATGAGCTCTTTAAATCGCTGTGTGCTAATGAAAACATTTGTGTGTCTGATTTATATCCAATTCCTTTTTTTATTCTATTTTTTCCTGTACTATATACGGTCTTTTAGGGTTAGTATGTGGAGTACTGTTACGTTATGCGTTGCCCTTCAGATATAGTTCCGTTTCTGCTCTTTTTATTTCGGAAAGCCTCACCTCCAGTCTATTATACCGGAAAGGCGCTATTTATCAGAATAAGAATACTCTTGTATGGTCTGTGAACCATTTATTAACGCAGATGAGAGTGATGATTCATTTCTAAAGAGTTTTAGAAAGTGATACTTCTCCGTACTTCGAGATTTACCACAGTCTTCATTTTAAATTTTGTTACTTCTTACTGTAAATAGTCTTTATTGTGTTGTTTTATTAATTTAAAACTTTATTGATGGATTTTATCAATTAAAACTTTGGAATAAATTGAATACCGCTTCCGAAAATTATTTTACAAGGCAAGCAATTTTTAAGTATATTTTCATGTAAAATAAATTTAAAAACTTTATTAAGTACTAATTTTAACATATATAAGAGCTCAAGTAATAATCTAAAAGAATAAAAAAAATTACGATGCTAGAAGCGAAACTTCTTTTTCTGATCTTTTTTTATAAAATTAGGCTTAGCGAAGCAAAACCTCCGTCCTGTACGGTGACTGCCTTCGATTCCCTTGCATCCCGCACGAGCATCTTAAACAAAGGTGCGCCGTCGCGAAAAGGATAGTACTTCATTGTTTGCCTGCAGGAAAAAAGATTTAGGGTGTCTGAAAGCATTTGTTTTTTCTAGATGCATATAAGAAATGACCAAAGTCTCTTCATCCCTGAAATATGAAGCATTTTTGCATTTTATATGAGAGTCTGAAAACATCGTGTTCCTGTTCTCCAATGAGAATCAAGCGCCACTACAGGTCATCTGGCATATATTAGCCAATGAGCTATGACAAACCGATATTGGGTTCTCTGGGCTTTACTCCACATTTGAAATGGCATCTTATACCGGAGATTTGAATCGGATGATGGGAAGACTTTCCTATGACAACTGATAGTTCCATGATCTTCGATTCTGGAGTTCCTTAAAGAACTACACAGCAGCCCTACAGGAGGCTACTTCAGAATAATGAAGACCTTGCAGAGAGTTCGGGAACACTTCTATTGCAATAATTCAATGGATGACGTGCAAAAGTGGTGCCTATCTTTCTTGCGATGCCTGTGTATGTTGGAAAGGACTGAAGAAATTCAGCCAGGGCAAGCTGGAATGTTACAATGCAGGAGTGCCTTTTCAGCATATCACCTTTGACATCTTGGAACCTCTGCCACCAATTGCTGATAACAACAGATACATACTCGTCGTTGACTACTTCAATAAGTGGCCTGAAGCATATCCTTTACCTGATCAAGAGGCTGTCACAGCAGCAGAGGTGATGATACAGCACTGGATTTCCAGATTCAGAGTGCCGCTTCAGTTACGTTCTGATCAGGGAAGGAATTTTACCAGGTCTGTAATCGAAGAACTCTGCAACATACTCAGTACTGACAAAACTCAAATGACGCCTTAACATCCTAATTCGGATGGCATGGTAAAGAGGTTAAATTGAACCATCCTTAATAACCTCTCAGTGGTTTTCAGAAACTAACTGGACTGAGACAAGAAGTTACCACTCTTTTTTACTGGCTTACCGCAGTGCTGTCCACAGGCCTACCGTCTATTTCCCATCTCAGATGCTGTTCGGTTGTGATCTTCATCTGCCTTGTGACTTCTTGTTCAGTCGCCCTCCAGATGCGCCTTCATCGCCTGAGGAATATATTCAAAATCTCCAGGCCTAGTTTGCAGTGATGCACAGTTTTGCACAAGAGTGAGTGAATTTGGTGACGGAGAAGATGAAGACACTAGAGCTACTGGAAATTGATTCAAGGAAGGAAAGAATGTGTGGTTGTCAAATCCGACTCAAGGGAAAGGATTCTGTCGGAAACAACAGTCACCTTGGGAAAGTCCATGCGCAGTCCTAAACGGGCTGAATGACGTCGTGGTTTGGATCCGTAAGTCATCGAACTCTCAACCTAAAGTCATTTATTACAACAGGTTAGCACATTACTATGGCCATAGTGTAAATACTTGTAAGTAGTGCAAGACCATGGTCCTTTTTGTTTCAAAATGTGTATTTAGTATATGATAGCATTTTATTTGTTTGTTATTGTGAAGTAATATTTTTTATAGCATTTATGCGTTAGTAGTAAGTTTTGCTGTTCAGGGATTGTACTGCCAGGGACTTGCAGACCTTGGAAAGGGAGGTAACGTGTTTTGTATTGATTTATTTAGTTTGCTGTTTTTAATAGAATTGTTAGTAAATTGTTTCATTTCCTCGTGCAATGCTGCATGCGACTTACTTGAAGAGAAAACTACATGGAAAAATTAAAACTACAGGAGCACACGCATTTAATAAATAGATATCTCGTAATTGTATGCTTTTACTTTTTGGGAAAAATTGAGTAAGTGCCAGACTGTGCTTGTGCTGATTAGAAAGCTCATAAAAGCCAGAGAAAGAACAGTTCAGCTCAGTTGTTTTATGAGTTTGTTTAGAAAACTGTTGCTGTTTACTGTAGCGAATTCGCTGTGTAATCGGATTAGCTTTCTCTATTTAGAATTAGTTCTATTGAACGTTTTGATTTTTATTATCGGTTGATATTTAAGCATTTTGTTTTATTTGTTGTGATAATAATAAATTTTTTTCACTATTTATTTGGGCTTGGACATTCATTTTATGTCGAATCTGTATGCACACAGCAATATTTTTTTGTGCATGTAAGTTAATGGCTTAGTTATTTTGAGCAAAAATAGTACAAAAATCTGACTTTAAATTATTGCAAATGTCAAAGAACGTTTCTTCTTAACACATGTTTTCCTGTACGCATTGCGGAGAAGGAAATTCTCATTGTGAGGTTCCGTCACTAAATCCCTTGCCGAATTTTCCCTCCGCTTTCCAGTGGCGTAATAGCAAACTAGTTTACACTAAGTCTATTGAACTTTTCCTTCTTTATAGACATTTTTTGGCATAAGTTTCACGTGCTTCCCTGAAACAGCTTAAGAAACATTGATATTTTGCATTAGTTATGTCTGCAAAAAATTAAAATGCTCATGTACTTTTCAAAAATCTTACACAGAATGTAACATTGCAATCTGCATTGTTAGCCATTTTTTGATTTCGCACAGTGGAAAGACAGCGCAAGTTGTACTGGGGGGGGGACTGGAAACAAAGGACAAAAAAGTTAATAATGCAGCATACCTGTTCTGCCTTTTTACTGAAGTGCAACCTGCCTCTGAAAGCATTGAATCATGCTGCAACTTTGAATTGTACAAGTACTTTTGTAAGTTCTAAAACTGTAACGTGTTTCATTTTGTAAAATACATTTTATGAAGCTATCATTAGTTCTGTTTACCATCAATCCATTATGAATCTGTGTGTGTGCACACAATATCATTTGTTTCTTCTTAATTTTGTGGTTTCCATATTTCTTTATAATACTTTTTTCATTGAGAGACTTCTGATAAATTTTATTGCATGCAATAATGTCATCTATGTTGCCAAGTTATTTTTAAATAGGAAGTAGGTAAATTTACCTTTTTCTTTCTCTGAGTGGAATGGCTAGTCTTGAGATATCTTTATATACATAATCTTGTTGTAATATTTTATTATTTTCTAAATGAGCTAAAAATTATTTGTCATCGGAAGATATTCTTAAAATGTGTTTTGCTGCAAGTTTTTGTTTGTAAACCTAAGTGAAATCTATTCTGTTTCATTTTTTCACAATAATTTTTTTTTTTCACAATAATTTTAACTTACATTTAGGGAGCTTGCCTGAAGTTTGAAGGATTATACAATGCCTTGGATCAAGAGAATGTGGGACTAGACCTCCAAAACGAAGGGACTCGGAACTTCGCATAATTCCAGTAGCATGCCTGCGGTTATCTGTATTAAACTTCTCAGCCGTCTTCGCCCTTCACCAGCCAACCAATGCCCTAACTTGTTTCTCCCAGCTCTTTTTCTTTGTGGGCGCCAGATTATGTTTTTTCGCGTTCGCTTCAGCAGCAAAGATTTTTTTCCGCGAAGATAGCGAGTTCGGGCCTTGGCCGTACTCATTTTTCAAAAATGAAATCAAGGACTTGTAAATATTATTTCTCACCTCCACATATTTAATCAAGATTTTTAGTATTTTATTTTTCATGTTTACTGCATTTTTTATATTTTTACTCATGTATATAGAAGTCACCCCCGGTGCTTCAACTTGCAGCTGCCAAAAGGAAGATTGCCATACATAATTGCCTTATCCTTGCTACAGATGTCATTACATCTGTATTTCCACGACTCAAACCTAGCAGTCTTCTTCGAAAGTGATTACAAGAAACTGAAATGTAGAGGTAAAAACCCCTGGGGGTTGAATACCTATCATAGGCTCTGGCTCTGGCAGCAGCAGGGACTACTCACGAGCATGGATTGTCGCAACTATTTTTTTTTTTTGGCACTGCCTGAATTTTCTAATACGCTGTTACGAAATGAGTTAAAAAACGTATTCTCAATTTTCGGCCTGCTACAAAGCCGAATTCCAACAATTAAAGAATCCTTCAAAGGAAATAACTATGCATTTTGCAACGTGTGAGTGTGTGATTACATAAATTCGTGGAAAGAATCGACATTGTGAAGCATGTTAGGTCTAAAAAGCATGAAGTTAATGCTTCGGCTTCGACAATGTCGACAAAAGAATTTTTTCAATGTGTTAGAAAGTACTTTTCCTCTGCCTGTGATTACAGTGTAAGGAAGCTTCCTTTGCAAAATGAAGTTCTTTTAAATGGTGAAGTGGCAAATTTGAAATAAATTGAAAATTCATCTTTTGAAAAGATGATTCGTTTTTTACTTCCTTATACGAAGTAAAAAGGAAATATTGTAAACGCGAAAAGTTTCAGGCAGCATATTTCAACGAAAATATCCATTTTGACCACTATCGAATTCAATTTAACGATGTTTTTGCATGATATCTGTACGTAAGGACAGAATAAAATACTCTTTTCCTTCAAAAAAAATTTAAAACTGCTTTAAAATTAATTCTGAAGAGAATTTTGGCGTCTGTACGAACGTATGTACGTACGTGTGTACATACGTATCTCGCATAACTCAAAAACGAGTAGCCTCAGAACGTTGAAATTTTGTATGTAGACTGCTATAACATGTAGATGTGCACCTCGTATTTTGGTTACAATTGGCCGCACCAAACGTATATAAATATATTTATAAATATATCCACTCTATTACCCGGCTCAGTGATCTCAGTTTCTTTACTCTTATATGTTGCATTTTTTGCTTTAAAAATGATTGAATTATGTTTTTATCTTCGGGTTAAGGATTTTATGCCTTTGGTAAATCTGTGTGCAATATTTTTAGAATTATCAGCAATTTTAAAGTTGTTTAATTGCCGCTAAGCCTGTTTTTAATGGCAGCCATTGATGTTTACATTTGAAACAGGAGACTAGTGCATTTGTTGCCAATCTAGAGAAACTTAGCTTCGCAACAACAAAGATAACGCATTCATTTATAATTGCCAATTAAATCATGCTTAATCCTTTCTGGAATTTTTTCGAGGAAATAAGCGTTTGAGATTTCATTCAGAATTTTTAATATAGATATTTTGAGTTTTTATGTATTTTTGCCTTCTCGCAAAGTGAGAACTGAATTAATTAAATGAGAAATACTCAATTGTCTGTGAAAAACTGTTTCTTTTTGTTTTGTTTGCTTAATTTCTTTTATGCATAGTTCTAGCTTTATTATAGTATTTGAATAGAACATGTGGCAACGATTAGATAATTCTTTAAATGATATACATTTTGTGCATTCTGAGTTATAATATGAATGAAATATAATACTGTTAAGTAAACCTAGTGCCAGAGTGTCGCTATGGTAAACAAAGTGAATTTTAAAGAATGCATTTATTCTATTGTGGTTTATGCGCTGTTGGCGAAGTAGGTTTAATTCAATCTAATACGTTTAAATAAAATGCAAGAAAAATTGCGTATAATTTAATATTCCGTACAAGGAAGTCATGTGGTGTACACATCAGATTTTTTATTGATAAATTTCCATTTTTGTTAACAATTAAAGAAAATGAATGCCATAATGATGCTTTAGAGAAACTACAGAACCAATTTTCTGCTGCACAGTTTGAAGACTTTGCCAGTTCTGGAGAAGATAAACTTGATGTCCTCATTGGTACCTTAAAAAGAGCTTATGGAACACCAATATATGATAGACCAGCAAGAGTTTTATGTGCTATTTTCGTAATTCCACACAGTAATGCTGAGTGAGAGAGAGTCTTCAGTGTTGTGAAAAAAAACAAAACTATGTTTCGTTCTTCAATTTCACCAAAAGCTCTAGAAAACATTTTAATTGCTAAATGTCATGAGGAAACTAATTGTTATGACAGGAAATTTTCCAAAGAATTTTTTGCTAAAGCTAAAAAATGCACTCTAAATTCATTGCAATAATTTTTTTGTGTAACATTAAGTTCTTGTTTTATGTTTCCTAATAAATTTTTTAGTTACTACTTAATTGAGATTTACTAATGTAAGTACAATTTTCTTTTTTCTGTTTGTATAAATTGTTATTTTTTTAATATCAAAGCATGATATTAATTCTTTGTGTTCTTCTGAATTTTTATCTTTAGAAGTTGGCAGGTATGAATATTTAATTTTGTCTGATATGTAAATTCAAGTACACTTTTAAGTTATTCATTGCTTTAGACATTTTGTTTCAGGTACTCTGTGCCTTTTACCTTTTAAATATGAATTGTAAATGTGCTTGTGTACGTAAAATGAAATAAAAATGTACATTTAAAATGTAAAGAGGAATCTTGTCTTGTAGGATTCCAAAAACACTTCTGCTTCCATTTGCATCATATTACTTCAGTTTAGTATTTTTTAAAATGGTGTTTTTTAGAACTGTGCATAATCTTACATTTATGAATTGATTGTATTATCTCTGAATGCTTTTGTCATCTAAATTTTTTAGATGATTATGATGTGTGGATTGCCAGGTGCTGGAAAATCTGTATGGGCAGCAGAGTATTCAGAGAAGAAGCATCCTGATAAGAAATACAATGTTTTAGGAACCAATAACATTATAGACAAAATGAAGGTAAGGAATTTTGTGTAATTTTTTCCTAAGTCCATTGATCATGCTGGCTTTATGCTTAGAAAGGTCTATTTTCAAGAGACAAAAAGCACAGTCCATAGGTGAAACATCAAGGCACTAAAAGCTATCCACTCAAGGTTTCTTCCAAATGATACTTGCCGTTAAACAGCCTATACAAAATAAATCCTAAACTGTATGGGAAATAGTCCTTTGTGCATTGTTATTTATATTTGAATAACAGATTGATGAGATTGGATCTGATAATGATTAGGTCTTTGCTCATTCCATATAAAATCATTGGCTGTTTAATGATAATTGTATGTATGTAAAGATAATTTTGGACTTTATTATATGTGCAATACTTTTTTTTAAAAAAATCAATTTGAAATTTTGCATTTATACTTTCTTTTATGGTATAATTATTTTTATGTGTGTAAATTTTTCTAACGTAATATTTTTCAAATAAAGGTCATGGGGTTACCTAGAAAGAGGAATTATGCTGGAAGATGGGATGTATTAATTCAGATGGCTACTAAATGTCTAAATAAAATGTTTGAGATTGGTTCAAAACTGAGAAGAAATTACATACTGGATCAGGTAACATGTAATTTTATTGTAGTATAAGAAAATGTTGGGAAATTGAGATTAAAATCTGGAATTTGATATAAGGAGCTGGGGAATTTTATATGCTTATTAATTTTATTACGAATTTTGTGTATATATAAGTAATTGTATGTGAAATAATAATAACTTGTGTAATGTAACATGGAATGCTTAAAAAAGTGTATCTCTGCTTGCAGAGTGAAGCTGCAGGTGTAAGTTTATTTAACTTTGATGTAATTGGCGAGATATCGCCAAGTTCACTTTAGTTTTAGAGACAAATTTTTGTCCCAAATTTGGCAATGGATTGCAAAAAGTCACCAATCTTGGTGACATTTCTGACCTGTTCTCTGTTATTGTAGTTGGTACTATGATTGAATAGCTAATTGATCCCAGAGTACTGAGAGATCATTCTGCATGTTTATGCAGTTGAGGCTATTTATATTGTCTTGTATTTAATGTTCTTAGCTGTTTGAAGTAATAACTACTGATTGTCCTATGTCATACTGCGAAGAGCTGGGAAGTTTTTCTTTTGAGAAAATAAATTTTATCAAGCTCTCGTTAGTTCTGTGTGTATTCGATGCATTACAAAAACATAACCCATGAGACAATTATTGGTATCAGGAGTGAATTCCGGTGACAAGAGTGATCGAGGAATATCTGCAATCCAAAAAGAAATAAAAAGGTACCTTCAAGTCCATAAAAGAAAAGATGGAAGCATGTCAAAAAACACTGATGCATGAGAACTGAAAAGAGAAATTACTGCCATAATAGAAAACAAGTTTGAAACTAGGAAAGGCAGAATAGACACAGTTGGAGAAATTGAATAGTTTCTGCTGCTGTCCACAATATAGTTGACAGTTTAAAGAATATCAATACACAAATGATCACAGTTCTGATGCCTTTAAATTCTTTGAGGATAGTGGTTTTTTGCAACTTGTTTTTGTTGCCAAATTTGTCAAAAAATCAACAAATGTCCCGTAGTGGCAACACTTTGGTGCAGTACCGTGTAACTGTAACCAAATCTACCTTCCAGTAATTTCAAGAAATGGAAGGTACTAGAGATTTATTTGCAGCAGGGAGAAAATATATGAGATCGGAGAGAGCATAAATTCTTAGTTTTTAGTTCAGAGCTGACTTGAGAGTATTGAGATCTGCAAGAGAGCATCGCCTTAGATATACTTTACATTACTTTGTGTTTAAACATTTTTAGTAGTTTGAAGCATAACTGCTGATTGTTCTCTGACAATGAAAAGAGCTGTACGTGTGCTTTTGTGTAAAGTTCCAGAACTGTAAAGCGTTTCTTTGGAGAAAATAAAGTTTATCAAGCTATCATAGTTTGTGTGCATTCAATTTGTTATGAACCGAATTATATCCTTTAAATCAGAAGTGATGAACTAGAGGAATGGCAGCTGCTGCTGTTTTGCCTGCAAATTCTTTGTGTGTGACTGCTGTAGGTGTAATAAAATTTATTGTCTGTATTTAACTTAACTTCCCCCCCTTTTGTTTTACTTTGATTTCCTTGATTATCCAAAAGCCTTGCGACAGTGGTGTATATTAGCCTTTGAATGAAATCTGTCGACATAGATTGAATATATTTGAAAATTTTGCATCAAAATATTAAAACTCCCTGTGAGTTTTAGAAACATACTTGTAGAAATTCTGATATAATTTCAATAATGAACCTGACAAAATGTGCACATATTTCTATTAATGTGTATGAGTGTACCTTTTAGAGCATTCTGTTTGCATGTGTTGGCTATTATTACAAGAAATCTATTTTCTGGGTTTTGCTATTGTTTTAGCTAATAATCTTATCATTTAGATTTTGTAATATCTGGCAAATATTTATATATTTAAAAATAGAAACAAAATTTCCATGCGTAATCTTTTACCATTATGTATGAAGCATCATCTGACATGATTTGGTATGCAAAGGTGTGTGACTGTAACATTTGTATGATCTGTTGTATGTTTAAACATTTATTTAAAATTTATTTAGGCAAAAAAATTTTCAAGTGTTTGTTTATTTTTTGAACTCTTGCCACTCAAAGCTTTATTCTATTCCTTAGAAAGAACAGTGCTTACTCAGATCTCCTGAGTACTCACCACTTAGCAGTAATATCCATGTTGGGAAATTTAGAAAATACGATAATAGCTTTATTGGGTTTTATTAAGCATTTCGAATCGATTTGTTGTGAGACCTATCTTTTAGATTTCCATTTAATTGGTAAATGTCATATCCAAATAAATTCAAGAAAATTTGCCTGTATGCTTATTCTGCTTTTTATTATTAAGTGTGATTCTGTTACACTCATGTAATTTATATGTTTTTAGACCAATGTTTATCCAACTGCTCAAAGAAGGAAGATGAGGAATTTTGAGGGTTTTAAACGTATAGCTGTTGTTGTTGTCCCAACTGAAGAAGAATACAAAAGGCGCTGTGATAAGAGAGATCGCGAAGAGGGCAAAGAAGTGCCTGACCAGGCTGTTTTGGAAATGAAAGGTATCATATAATAAGAGAGTAGAGAGGAATTCCACTTTTCCCCCTTTATTCTAGATATATATATCAAATTTTAAATTATATCCTAAAGTAAAATCTTTTGTTAATAATTTGCACTTAAAATAATTTACCAGTTGTGAAATTTAGTTCCTGTAATGAGCTCTTGAAAAAACGTGTAGAATAACACTTGATCAAAGTACTCCTTAGGTAATACAGTAGAAATTCTGAGATTCGGCCTCCTGCGGACTTCACTGATTCCGGATCTGGGATTTTTCCATATATTAGATCATCAGTTTAAATCTAGTAAGATGATAAAATTAAAAGTATGAAGTTGTGATTTACGAAGTAATGAGGCATTTATGATCTAAATGGTGTCAAAATTTACACAAAAAAAGGTTAAAATTTATATTGAACATTTCTTTCAATGTAAGTTGTTTAAGTTGATTCGTTTTTTGTGCTAATACTTTCTCTTTAATTCTGTATACAGACTAATTTCTTTAGTTACGTTGTTGAACTCTTGTAATTGCTGTGTCAAGAATTCCAATTAACTTGTCAATCAAAATTTTTTTCATTTTCAGTAACTTCTCTGTCACCTTCTTCACTATCGGTAGCGATATTTTAGAGATGTAGAGCCATGCTACAGATTTCGCAATTCATTAATTGATTGATGATTAAGGAGCATTGTCATCACAGTGAAAACTACATTTATAACATCTTCATTTATTACCACTTATCTGCATTTTTTTTTTATATATACAAAATCTGTTAATTAGAAATTTTCATCTTGATTTGCGATATCCGAAAATGCTTAAAATTTGTGGCTATCATCATAAAATTTAGCTATCATTCGCTATACATATTTCGCTGTGTATCATGATATTGGCAACTACAGACAAGTTCCGCTAAATTTTATCTTGCTTCTATTGCGCACTGAGACTATTAAGCCTGAACTGTAGTTATATACTCATGTCTTTTTCTTGCATATGCTTATCTTAGTCTTGAATAAATTCCCACATTATCGTATGTCTGATGCAGTCTCTGCAAGTCCTACATTCTGCTACCAAGCGCCTCCCTTTGTTTTCCTTAAATTCTGCCACTCGGTGCGGCCATACAAGCCCTGGCGCTGGGTCTGGGTTTATATGAATAAGAAATTGGTTATTCTTTAATTTTAATAGCACTAAAATATAATCTTTTGGCTTATGAGTATCATTAACAAAATCTATTTTTAGCAAATGGGAAGAAATTTATATTAAATGTTTCGTCGTGAACATTTATAATGATCGCCAAGCGTAATGTGAGCATGAAAGGTTACCATACTCTTTATTATTCAGTTATTAACCAAAAAAATTTTAGGCTTCACTACATGAATTATTACTCAACTTGTCATGTTGATAAACATGCGGTGATAAAAGCAAAATAAAATTAATAATGATTTCAGGTTGGCATCAGGGATATAAAGTATTAGTAGGTATAAAATCAACGATGTTATCTATGTAGCCGGTTTTAGTTTGAGATCCATACCAAGCAGCTACAAAGCCAAATTTATGCTAAAATGATTGTTTCTTCAATAGCGAGGTATTTTATTTAGTGCTGAAGTGAAATTAAGGATCTGCCTCTCTATGTTTTATTATGTGGGGAGATCAAATGTGCATTCAATAAAGCATACAAAATAAATAAATGAAAAAGTTGATGCCTTTGAGTTCTGGATTTTAGATCATTCTGGATCTCGGACTTTGTACTTTATTACATTCACTTAGAGAGTATTGTCATTTTTGAAGCTGGTTGCTAACTAATTTTCTGGGGTGCTACTGAAAAACCTATATTAAAAGTATCAATTCTGTTTTAAAAATGGTATCGCACTAGTTTATTGCTGGGAACAGAAATTACCAAGAGTTAAATTGGATGAATAATGGGTAATATATATATATTTTTTTTTGTCTTAAAATTCCTTGTATGTAGAGTTCTGTAATCATAAGAGATGCAGACTGTGCCAAAATGTTTCTGATGTCCAGTTCTTCAGCATTTTTCATATAATCTGTAATTTGTTAACTCAGTCTTGCATTTAATTGTTTATTTGACTCTATTGTATTCATTCTGTTAATAATTAATACTCACCATTGTTTCTTTGGAATACCTGCTTCTGGGCTATCTTCACGTACATTTTTTAACTTCTTTTTCTTCTCTCACACTATACACCTTCATTTTTTTCCACTAGGTCTTAACATCTTTTTTTATGTTGATTTAGTGTTTTAAATTTCAGCCTCCCCTTTTTATGAAATGCATATGCACGTCTCAGTATGTTAGTAGCACCTGGGTCAGAGCTCGAAATTAAATGCACTTATTTGGATATCAACATTAGTTTGATATTTTTTCATGGCTTATAATATTAGATCACCATTCCAAAAATTAAATTTAATCCGATATTAATATTTCAGTTTTAAGTTGATATTCACTTTTTTTAAAGTAGTTTTCTTTTTAGCTCTTAAAAGGTGTAAATTTCTATACAGTTTGCACTGTTACTAATGATATTTTATTTTTTAGCAAATTTTAAGTTGCCAGAGGTTTCTGATATTTTCGATGATGTTATTTATACTGAGCTGCCAAAAGAAGAAGCAGAAAAACTTGTTCATGTGTATAATGAGGAGGGTAGAGCAGCAGTAGGACCACCAAGAAAACAACAATTCAGACCAAACCAGGAGCCTTCAGGGTTTGGTATGTGTAACATTTTCTTAAAAATGTATTTGTGTATTATTTTGCATACCTGTTCTTTGTGCAGTGGCACTTTTTTGGGGAGGTGGCAGATTTCCTGGAAAAAAAAAAAAAAACTAATTGGTTAAACTGTCCACTAGGGAATAAAATGTTGTGAAACTCGTTTTGTATTAGGGACCTTTTTTTTCACAGTGGCAAATAATGTCAGCACACCTCAAGTAATAAATTGTTAACTTGTGGGTTTTTTTTTAATTTCACAAAAGAATGTTAAGATATTTAATGTGTCAGTTGCGTATTTTCAGTGTTCAAAGAATTAATTTGCACTATGTGATAATTCTTGAAGCAATATGGCAAACATTCAAACAAATAACTTTTAACCATATTTTGAAGAAAATAATAATCACTGAAATCAGTAATATGTAAAATACTGAAATGCACACAAAAATGAAGGCAAATTGTGCAAATGCGTTTCACAATGTATAAGCGGATGAGTGCGAGCATGGGCCAATTATTTGTGAACAGCGCTGAATTGGCAACTTTCAGAAATTGTACATGTACATAACTCATTAATAATGTGATGCCGTTATTCCAAGGAAACGTTAAATATATAAGAACTACGAAAAACACAATGCGTTCAGCATAATATAGTTAATTTCAGTTACAAAAAGTGTCATCATACCCAGTTAACAGGCTAAGGAAGTGTAATTAGAAGATGAGAAAAATTTTAAAAAACCACAAATGTATCTTCTTTTCTATATGCAGACTTGGGTGACACTGATTACTCAAAATATTAACTTCGATCCAGCCATGAGGAAAAAAGTATTTGATTTTAATGGCCTTGGTACTTTATACCTGGCACTTTCTCACCAGATTTGGCAACAAATATTAGTTGATAAAACAATCGCCTGCATGGCAATATCTTGCCAGTTTAGTGAGATAGCCATTTACTTCAATGTTAAATATATTTTATCTTATTTTTCGGGCAGAGCTTCTCATTTATGTATGTACAAAATTCATATACTTTCTTAAAGATGTTACAAATAGGCCATGTGTGCAGGGCCTAATCAGTCAGAAGTTCAAAGCATACACTGTAAAATTAATTGTTGCTGTTTTTGGTAGGTTGAATTTTTATGTTCTTTTCAGTGGAAATTTTACTTAAATTTCCAAACCAGTTACTTTGAGGGTCTTAAAAAAAACTAAACATGGCTAAAATATATGAACTGGTTTGTGTTGAGCTGCCATTTACTATAAATAAAAAAGGTTCAGAGTAACCCATAAATCCTTTTTCATTCAATCTTTCTGTGCGTACAGAAGGAAAGTTTTAGGTGTGTCCAAAACGGACACACTGTGCCGCAAAGGATTAAATCCCGATTGATGTGAGTGTATTGAATAATAATCTATATCTCCATGGTGTTATTACAAATATTTGCACGTTTTCTTCTTATTGTCTAAGGAAGAACACTTCTTTCTACTGAATTTCTTCTTAGTGTCTAAGGATGAATTTTTTGTTCTGCAATCACAACTTCAGTGCCTTAAACTTTTTGTATCATTAAGAATTACAAATCTTGTATACTACAAAAAAATTTTACATTGACATTTCCTGCAACAGTTCCAATGGATTCCTTGCTTTCCGTGCTCCCAAAGTTGGGGTAGTTGGTCAAGCCTTTTTTGTGAGCATCCTGCATTTTGGTGTTCCCCCCTAATTTCATTGAAATGTCCAGGTGGTGGTCGGTATATATTTATCACAGTCTTTGGAGTAGATTCAACCATACTATACTTCATTTATTGAAAATGCAAGACTAGATACAGAAACAGCTTTCTCTTTGGCTAATTAGTACAGTCCAACCTCGCAGGATACTAGTCTCTCCTTACGCAGAATCTTTTTATTTCCAGTGTTGAATATGTTGATCAAATACTGAGCAGTAGGCTGAAGTAAACTTTTCATACATTAACCTTTTTGCAACAAGCACTCGGTCATCTAACCGCTGTCACACAGTGGCACGCTTACAGGATGCACTGTCCTATGAAAACAAACAATTAGTGCTTCTAGGCTTTGGAAGTGATGGTTCCAATTTTTAGTGCATTTTGGGAGGCATTTGGATAGTTATCAGAATTAATTTTTAAGCATCATATTTTCCTTAGAAATTCTACAAATAAATAAATTGTAGAACAATAAAATTATTTACTTTCATAAGAGAATATGAGTATGTAAGAAGAATGTGCACACAATCAGATATTTTATTTCACACAACAGATTAACAAAAATAAGAATTAGTAAAAATCTTTCATAAAAAAACCATCATGAAAATGATTAAACGGAAAAAAATATTTCAAGTATATGATACTTTTTCAAACATTTGTATACAAAGTCCTTCATTGCACAGCTTACAAGAAAATAATGTCTGCTGCTCTTCTCTGGTGTTTAGTGCCGTTTATGTGAGCAAACTGCATATCACGTGCCATTTCCCCCCCCACTTTTATTTAAGCAGGAGAGTGATAAAGGAAGAGTAGTGATCTAGTTAACTTTTTCTGGCCCTTCTTAGTTTTCAAACATTTATTTCACAATTTTCATTTTAAATTCAAAGAATGATGTCTTTAGTCCTTCCTCCCCCCCCCCCTTTTTTTTTTTTTTTTTTTTTGTAAAGAGCATCGATCAGCCATAAAAAGCAAAGTTTGTTGTACCACTTTGATTTTAGAAATGGTGTATTGTATGTAATTGTGCATCACCTATGCCAGTGCCTCCCATGTGTCAGTCTCAGAAAATGAGTCATTTTTCTTGCATGTATATTCTTCTGTTAAGTACTGTTTTGTTTTGCCATTTTCAGTACAAAATAGTAGTTCACTAAATGATGCACATATTATTCATCTCTCTCTCGGATAGGTGAATGAATGAAACCTCTGAAACCATAGAACGTGTACCCTCAAATTGCCAAATGCTAAAGTATTTAGAAGCATGTAAAACACATGCATATGTTTATATCAGCTGAAGCAGTTCTGTTTTGTTACATACATACTCATTCCTGCAATTCCATCTTTCACTCTGAAACAAAATACCAAAAATAGAATATTGCAGTGGTATGAAGATGGGCTCTCCAGTTTCTATTAATTCCACTGTAACATACATAGAGCTACATCTTGGGCCAACAAAAAATACTAATTGATGTTCTATATAAAAATTTCTATATGGTGCAGCTGTTCTTTGTGTCATTTTAAATGGCGATTCATATATGACACACCTGGCTGAGAGAACGTTTACAGTCAATGCATGCACATTTTCAAATAAATATGAAATTAGATTTAAAATATAATATTGTGCTAATATTTTAAATATTTTTGCCAAAAATTGATTAAAAACCTTTGAAACCTGATTTAACCGTGTCTTTTGTTTGGAAATTTTTAAGTTTGTTTATGGAGAAACAAAGAATACTGACTCTCAGTTGTCCTAGGTTATCGGTGAACCCGGTGTGGGCACACCTAGAGTTCGCTGTTTGATTTTAGGCAAGATTTCAAGGTAAAAATTTAAAACTAATATAGAATAAGGAAATTAGCATACAGGCAAAAAAATAACATAGAAATTTCTTTTCAAACAATTCCTTTTACACTCTAAAAAAAATCTGGAAGATTTCTTTGAAAAATGAGGGTCTTAAAAATCTAAACATGGCTAAAATATATGGACTGGTTTGTGTTGAGCTGCCATAATAAATAAAGAAGGTTCAGAGTAACCTATAAATCCTTTTTCATTTGATTTTTCTGTGCGTACGGAAGAAAATTTTTAGGTGTGTCCATACCGGACACACTGTGCCGAAAAGGGTTAAGAGTGGGGAAAGAAAAGGAAAACAGAAAGTGGGATTTCAGAACAGAAATAGAATACTATTGCTCACGTTCCAAATTATACCAGATTAAATTTTTTTTTTTTTTTTTTTTTTTTTAGAGATATATATCTAAGTAGAAAATTTCAAACTTTCCCTACTTTACCTATCACACATTTTTTCCTATTCATCTATCATGCTTTGCTGTGAAATGTAGATTTTGAATTTCTCTAAGCAAATTCTATGTGAAAGTACTATTACTTTGTCCTAACAAAAAATTGCTCTAAATACTTTATATTAACCCTCTGACTGCTCAATTTGTAGAAAAAATCGCTTCCAAAGTTGCGTTTTTTTCCCCCCTTCCATATTTTAAAGCTATATATATTGGAGAATTGAAAAATGCACTTTTTCTTTCTACAAAATATGGCTAATATATATGGACTGTTCTGTGTTGAGTTGCCATCTACTAAAATAGAATCTTTGCTCATCATATAAATAAATAAAGAATGTTCATTTTTTTTTTTTTTTTTTTTTAGAGATATAATTTTTTCTTTTTTTATAAATGCCTTTTTCATTCATTCAATTTTTCTTTATTGTGGTACAGAAAGAGAGGTTTGTCCAGACCAGACACACTGTGCCGCAGGGGGTTAAATTACTAGCATGTTGGATGTATCACACATGCAACCCCCTCTCCCCCCCCCCAATTTTTTTTCTTAATATGGTCTATGTGTTTGTAGGGACGAAGTATGGGTATTTGATAGGTGTTATTTAGAAAATATGTAGAGTGGCATAAGTATATATCTTGCTGCTCAACTTACTTTTCGGATTCACTTATACATCAGTTATATAAGGCTATAATATGAATGCCGTAAACTCAAGTATTCATTCTTACCATGTAAACTATATGTACTAAATATTAAATGAATAGTTTCAAATACATTCAGTATACTTTATTTTGTGAAATTTTGTAAATGGTATTCATGCCATCCATGTTATGCATCATTTACATTTTAAAAAATGTATTTGCATTAAAATATAGATCACTTGAAAATATAGTGCTTATATTTTGATCTTTTTTAACTGTTGTGTTAGTAAATATATTAATGTATGCTTTAGATGGAAATGAGTTGTATGTCGTTATTTTCTGTATTTTGTATGAACAAATAAAAAAAAAATCTGCATAGTAACTGAACTTCTTCTTAATTACATCCAAAGAAGGGTTTTGATTGCAGTAAATGTAAACTTATTTCATTGAAAGTATAATGTAACTTTCTATTGTATTTTGAAGAAATCTCTGTGATTGAATCTATTCTAAATTTAATTCATTTCCTCTTTTTTTAGGGAATAATAGAGGTTTTGACACTGGACGTGGAAATTTTGTTTCTAATCGCAACACATCAAGTCCAGGCCGAGGTGGTGGCTATCCTAACCGGGGTAATTTTGAAAGTTCGAGAGGTGGTCATGATGGCGGACGAGGCAGTTTTGGAGGTCGTGGTGGCTATGGCGGAAATCGAGGATATGATGGTGGCCGTGGTGGCTACAATAGTGGTTCTGGAGGGTATGACGGTGGGCGGGGTGGATATGATGGCAGTCGTGGTGGGTATGACGGTGGGCGGGGTGGATATGATGGCAGTCGTGGTGGGTATGATGGTGGGAGAGGAGGTTATGGTAGCAATCGAGGAGGATATGATGGTGGCCGTGGTGCATTTGACACCAATCGAGGTGGTTATGATGGTGGGAGAGGGGGATTTGATGCTAATCGAGGAGGTTATGATGTTGGCCGGGGAGGATTTGATAGAAAAAGAGGTTTTGATGAGGGTCCAGGGCGCTTTGATAGGTTGCAGCCTGGTCATGGAAATGGAAATCGCAGTTTTGGGGGAAATTCTCCTGGAGGTTATGGTGGAGGAAGTCAAAGTCATTATGGGGGTGGTTATGGTGCTTCAAGTAATTACAGTGAAAGCTCTACTGGCTTTGGTAATGGTTCGAATACTTATAGTTCTCGGGGAGCACCTAGAGGGAGAGGGGAATTCAGACCCATGCGGGGAGCTGCAGCTCAGAGTAATTATGGTGGTAGAGATTTTAATTATGGTAATGATAGTTCATCTGGGCAGTTTTCTGAAAGTAGCTTTAACAAAGAACCTGCCCTGGGTGCATATGATAAAGGAGGTTCACCTGGTACCCGAGGCCAGCGGGGTTTTCGAGGAGCTCCTTCACGTGGTGGCAGTGTTGGTGCTAGAGGAAATACTGCTAGCTCTAGAGGCTATGCCAGTGGAGGTAACATATCATCACGTGGAGGTTATGGTGGTGATTATGGAAGAGAACCACCCAGTGCATATGGTAGTGGGTATGGTAGTTATGGAGATTACAATGAAAAACCCCAACCTGGCCCTGGCTTTAGAGGTGGCAGTGAAAGTTTTCCTCGAAGAGATGCAGGTTCATATGGGTCTACACCTCAAGCTGGTTTTAAGAAAGAGCCAGGTCAAGGAGTTGAAAGCGGTGGTTTTGATGGTTCCAGTAGAAATGTGCGTGGTACTACGCGACCAAGTGGAAGGACAGGTACAAGATGGTCTGCAGAAACTCCACAAACTTACCCTCAAAGAACACCTGCTGTCTCTCAAGATTCGGTAATAATTTTTTTATTTAACATGTTCTTGTGTTTAGACTAGTATTTTGTAAGATTAATAAAATATGAAGAAAGGTAGAACCTTCACATTTTTCTTGGTTGTCAGTTGAGACTATATAATAAGTTCCAGATAAAAACTTACTAGTGTATTAACACTAGATACTGTAATTTTTAGCTCTAGTAGTAAAACTGATTTTTTTTAAAAACAGAACATTGGAATCCGAAAAAGAATCCCATACATAAACTGTTGCCAAAAAAGTTAATACAAAAATACGCAAAACAAATGTTTACAGTTATTAAAGTATTTGTGAGTTATTTTTAAATTATTTACATTTTATGGCATTACATTTCTTCACTTACCAGTAATGAACATTATGTTAGAATACATGTTACATGTTGGGTATAAAGTAATGGTGCCTATTCTCAAGATAATAACAAAGTTAATATATAAATATAAAATGTAAATTTTCAAAACGAATTTTACCAGTTCTGAATTGTCTTAAATCTGATTTGATTTTGGATTGAGTTTCATTTCTTCTAGTTTTAATCTCAAGCAGTGTAGGTGCATTCTTTACAAAAATTGGAATTGTGGATTTCTCTTGTTTAGAAATTTCCTGTGGTACAAGATGTATATTTCTCTATCTGTACATTTATGTCTTTCTTGTTTATCCAAGTAAAAAATGTTTTGGACGATTGAATAATGGAATATAGCCTTCATATGGGGGTTTGAATTGCTTACAAGCTGTGCCATTGCGAAGAAAAACATGAGAGCTTGATCCTAAACTTTTCTGTACAAATAATTTAGGGATGCTTTTCTGTTGAGTTTCCTTCTGGATCAGTTCCATATACTTTTGTAGTTTATGTATAAAAGTTCCAGGTGGTATATAATTTATTCTGCTTCTCTGGGATGTTTAATATTTTCTCAGTGTACCTTCTTGACTATTATATAGTTGGTATTGTCATGGATTGCTGTTTCTAAGCCTAAGGAAACTGCTGGTAATGTACACTGCACCCCCCCAAAAAAAAGCAAGTTCTATATCTCCCATTCTACTGGGCCTTTTAACAAAATTGAAATTGCATTTTTCATGTCTTGAAAGTGCAACTATATAATATATATTAGATTTATATATAGCATTATTCTAACAGGTAATTTGGCACAAAATCGACTTTTCTTTTTTATTTCCATTCTATGACACACAAATTATCGCTAGATATATTTGTAATTTTTGGGGAGAAATTTAAAAATTTATTTTGGCATTTTTAAATTTTTTTCCCCAGTTTGCATGAAGAATAATTCACTTGGCAAGCTTCTTAATTTATGGCATATTTTTATGTTGTGCATGAGCGGAAAAAAAGTTGCATTGTTCCTGCTTTCAACAAAAAGGCCAAATTTGAAATCGACCTAGTATATAAATTCATGTATATCTTCAGAAATTTTAATAAATTAATTTATTAAAATTATTTAAAAATACAGATTTTTAAAATAAATCATTAAAAATGGGTGAATTTATTTGGAATAAACCTAAATTTCAAAATCAGGAAGAAAGAATCAAGTAAGTTAGTTTAATAATAAAAGAGGTATCATTAATACATATGTACCAAATTCAGTTAACATGGGGAAGCTAATTTTTACAAAACTTGCCAGTTTGGCATAATTTAGTCATAGAATTGAAATGTTAAAGAAAATTGGCATGTCATTTCAGAAAATGTCCAATTTTGTATCAGAATACCAGAAGTTGCATTTTTGAGACATGAAAAACTCAATTTGAATTTAGTCAAACAACCCAGTAGAATAAAACTGTACCCCCTTTTTTTTTGTTCAGCATGCAAGGTCAGTATACACTGTGAATTTTCCTTCCTCTGACAAATGTTTCAAATATTTAATAGAAAGATAAATTATGAGAAGTTCACTATCATATGAACTGTAGTGAGGTTCAGCTTCTTCGAGTGAAATCTGATTGGTTCCCAACTGCCATGTTTGCATTGTGTCAAATAAAAATTAATTGCACGTTGGTTTGAATTGTGTCAAATCAAGTTGTACTGAAGATACATTATTTTTTTTTCCCCAACTGCCATGTTTCTATTGTGTCAAGTGTCAAATAAAAAATGAATCGCACGTTCATTTGAATTGTGTCAAATCAAGATGTATTGAAGATACATCGATTTCAATGACTTGATGTGATGTTTTTCTTCTGTTAAATTCTGATCCAGCAGGCTGATGAAAACCAACCTCAACCACCAACAACCATTGTTTTTAATATTGGGTCCCCAAATCAAACTAAGGCAAAATAAAGTATCTTGTTAGTCTTTTAAGGTCATATTTGTTACTTTAAATTGCATTCAGACAGTGGCGTAAATGTCACAGCGGCTTAGTCATAAGGTATAAAACGCGGGAGTTCCGTTCACATCTGCAGGACCCATATAAGCAGTAGCCAATTTGGGAATGTAACTTTGCACATGCGTGGATGTATCTACAGCCTATCCCGTTCAGGTTTTGCCTGTTCTCTCTGATTGGTCTACTCTTATACAGGGTTGCCACGCTACCTGGGAATTCAGAAATTGACCCAAAAATTCAGGGAATTTCATACAACGATATCGCCAAAAAAGGCGAGTTTTGCGCCGACGTTGGAAGAGATCACTTTTTTGGCGAATTGTGTATCACGCGAGTGTCATTCGGGCAGCTCGCGTAGAGCCAATTTTCGCAGCTCCAATTTGATTGTCTTTTAGAAAGGCAAAGCAAGTTTCCCGCAACTTTTGGTTTCCGGTAACCTCAAGCTCTCTGCAAAGGACATGGCACCGTTCCATCGTAGAGGGAAACAGCTGTGCATGCGCGATATATCTGTCGCCAAAGCTCGAAACCGGTGTCGAAGTTCAAAAGTGACATTATCTAGAGTTCATAAAATGAATATCGTTTACATTTTTTTAAACTCTAAAAGAACATATTTTTAGATGCAAGTAAATTAATTCAGGGATTAGCCTTTTCTAAAACTTTCACTTTTCCCCTTTCTTCGCAGTATGGAAAAGCGCAGGAAGTATATTCTTCAAGCAAAGTATGTCATGATCAAAATTACCATGGTCTAGAAGTCCTATTTTGCTTTATTTCTTAAATTAGAACTATAGGAATGTCTAACTGAGTGAATTTATAGAGTGAAATCAAGTTTTCGTTACTGCTTGTAAATAACATTTTTATAATTTGTCTGACTGTAAAAAATATAATTTTGTCTAGATTATGGAATATATTGCACATAATTTACAGTTCTCAAATCTTGTAAGTCTCACAATCTAATAGTTGTACATGAATAACCATGATTGATTATCATTACTTTTATTAATAGCATGTTCACCCGTTGACATTTTCTTTTAAATTTTAGGCAAATTTTCTACATTACTTAGGCATTCAGTCTAACAGAAATCTGAATTTTTTTACATTAAGAATTTTTACTTTTATTCCATAATCAAATAATACCAAACCACAAAACGTTCGATTCCAAGAATATAAATTTCTGTAGCATTTAGAATAACTTACTATTTTATGTAGCTATATGTTCCTGCACAGATCATGCAATATATGTCTAAAAGCTGGCATTAATGATTTAAAGCAGAGACTGCAAAAAGTAAAGACTTTCAGATAAATAACTTCAGTAGTAGTATATATTATACAGGAGAAATGTTTTACAAAGAAAAGGAATTGTGTTCAGATAGGAAAACTGGAAATTATACCAAATTACAGAGTAACTGAATAGCAAATGGCTACACATTCGGTGAAATAAACTTTGCATTTTATACGATTTGTTTCCTGATAAGCTCTCATGGATTTCTTTCTTTTTCTTTTTTGTTCAGCATTACAAACATGCCATCTTTTGTTATCAACTGCATTTTGGCGAGTTTTTTAGTAGTATATAATATCTATTTATAAGAATAGTTTATAGACGGCATGTGGTATTTTTCCATAATACAAATAACACACAGTACTTTTCCGCTACGCATACACACGTCAAAATGTGAAGCAGATGTATAATGGAAAAGTAGTGAATGTTTAAATTTCCCTGTGCACATATTAAATGCTTGAAAATTGGAAAGTTGTTCTCCATTTTGCATGCCTTGTGGTGCTCTAGATATTGTTTAGGTACAAATGCCAACTGTTTGGAAACAAATGTTTCAGGTAAATTCTACTGAAGAAAGTAATGATAATTCAAAAAAATACATATATACAAAAAATTTGACAGTACTGTCATAAATCTTTCACCTCAAAACAGACTTCTTTAATTTTCAAAGCTTAATACTGCAAAAATAAATTCTTGAAATACTGCCATGAATGAATCATATGTCATGAAAAATGAAATTTACAAAAGGCTAATAAATGTACTCAAAGCTTGTATATGTTACTTTACTTTCTTAGATTCCATTATCAAAGGGAAATAAAAAACAATTGTTTCAAGTTGAAGTAAATTGAATTAACGTAGCATAACAAGTAAATTTTGTACCAGTATATATATACCAGTAACAATACACAATGTTAGAAATACTTTTCATAAATTAAATTATGTAATGTTAATATTATTATTAAGAAGTGTGTATTACTCATTCAACCTATTATAAGTAATTTATACTTATAATTTAAATTATCATAGTAAATAAATTTTGTACCACTGGTTATAATGCACAGCAACAATGGTCATAACTCATAATTTCTATGAAAGATTCAGTCATTGAAATCCACTAGTGGTAAACCAATGAAGACTGGTATATCAGGCTAGCTATATGGCAGTTTTTGTGGTTTCACTCATATGCACTCTGAATATGAGATAGTTTCTCTTAAAAAGTCCTTTACAAAGGCATCCCTTCCTCTGCTATCCTGCATATATTTTTATTTTCTATTCATAAATACTTTTCTGTCTTCTTAAACACAGATCCCTATGGTTTGTTTGCCATTTCACAATAAGAAAACAAAAAAATTAAGCTAGTTTTAATAAAGAAAAAAAAAAGTTTTTAATTATGAGTTAAAATGAAATATTTTGCAATGCTTTGTCTCACACTGCAGGAGCTATCCACGCATGTTTTATATGAAAGCTTTACTAATTAAGATTTAAAACGAAATATTCTGAAAAGTAATGTTACTTTTTATACTTCTATGCCTCACACTGCAGGAGCTATCCACGTCAGTTTTATATGAAAGCTTTTCACAGCTGTTACCTCGCTTTTTTCCAGCCTGAAACAGTTTTTCCAACAGCAACTGAGTTTCATAACAGATAAAATTTACTGATCTCTTGGATCTTTAGTGCCTTCCTGCCAGCATGCACACTTAGCATGTAGTTACGGTCAGGTTTTAAGTTCGTGAAACAAGGCAGTGTTTGCCTCTCGAGACCATGAGTTAAGATTTGTAGTTTTTGGACTTGCATTATAACTGCCAATAGTTGAACTTCACGCCCATTAAGCTTTGAGCCAACTTTATGTTAAACTGAATTGTGCAGCCCTTGAATTTAAATTTTATATTCGAACTTACTGAAGTTATTTTGCCATAAGTGGTTGGCTGAGTTGTACGCACAAAGTGTACCTTCTACTTTTACTTAAGTTTTAAAAAAGGCTCTCTTGCACCTTTTTCATGTTTTAGTTGTTTACTTAAGACATCTTACAGTTTAGTGATGATGTACGATTGCAAAGAATATATCTAAATTTCATAATAAGTGCATTCAAAGCTGTTAAAATTGGTATTTAAGTACTTGCCATATACTCAAATTTTCATATAAATACTTTTATTACAGTGTTACATTTGTTTCCAAATAGTTGGCATTTGGACCTAAACAATATCTAGAGCACCACAAGGCATGCAAAATGGAGAACAACTTTCCCATTTTCAAGCATTTAATATGTGCACAGGGAAATTTAAACATTCACTACTTTTCCATTATATATCTGCTTCACGTTTTGACGTGTGTATGCGTAGCGGAAAAGTACTGTGTGTTATTTGTATTATGGAAAAATACCACGTGCCGTCTATAAACTATTCTTATAAATAGATATTATATACTATTAAAAAACTCGCCAAAATGCAGTTGATAACAAAAGATGGCATGTTTGTAATGCTGAACAAAAAAGAAAAAGAAAGAAATCCATGAGAGCTTATCAGGAAACAAATTGTATAAAATGCAAAGTTTATTTCACCGAATGTGTAGCTATTTGCTATTTGGTTACTCTGTAATTTGGTATAATTTCCAGTTTTCCTATCTGAACACAATTCCTTTTCTTTGTAAAACATTTCTCCTGTATAGTATATACTACTACTACTGAAGTTATTTATCTGAAAGTCTTTACTTTTTGCAGTCTCTGCTTTAAATCATTAATGCCAGCTTTTAGATATATATTGCATGATCTGTGCAGGAACATATAGCTAAATGCTACATAATTCTAAATGCTACAGAAATTTATATTCTTGGAATAGAACGTTTTGTGGTTTGGTATTATTTGATTATGGAAAAGCATGCAAGGACTATCTACCTAAGGGAAGGGATGCCTTCGTAAAAGACTTTCTAAAAGAAACTGGCTCTTATTCATTTGAAGATAAGAAACCATAAAAACAACAACCAAAAAAAAAAAAAACATGCAGCCAGCCCATTCACCTCGAATCATGTTCATTGACTTTATCACTTTGATGCTAATGGGCCTCTGGGAAGAGATGGTATTTTCTGGATCTAAAACCGTACTGCAGATTTCACTGTTCGTTAATTGATTGACAATTGAGAATTTCATTGAGGTCCAGATTTTAGATCATTCTGGATATTGGATGTCAGGATCTCGGACTTTGTACTGTATTACGTTTTTAATGCCATACAAATGAAATGTGTGTAGGAATGTATCAGAAATTTAATATGAGAAGAAAAGCTCATATGTTTTCCCATTGTAATGTTGACTCTTTTAGGGGGGGATTAAGAATTAAGCATCATTTGTGAAAACTAACACTTTATAATTTATAAAAATTCTCTCTGAAGTAATTTTACATTACCTGATTTAATATTTGAAATTCATTGTACTTTTGATATTTCAACTTTATTTTATTTTTAGAGCCCTTATTCTGGTTTTGGAGCTGCAGTCAAATCTGAACCAGTAGGTGGTCCTGCTGCAAATACACGCTATGATCAATTCTCCGGGCAAGGATCTAATTATGGAAACTTCGGCCAAGGCACTCCATCTAATCAAAGTTTGTTTTCATTATTTTAATTGATTTATAACTTCTTTTATTATATGCACCAGAATTAAAAAATACCAAAGCTATGTATAAATACAAGCATTGAATAAGAATAGGAGGTTTAAGAAACTGAAGTTGTAGTAAACAGGAAATTTTCATTTAAGACAGAAAAAGATACTGCTGCTCATGAGTTGTGAGGGGAGTGAAAATTCAAATTCATTTTTAATTAATATTTTGTTCTGTATAATTACTAATGTTTGGAGTGCTTACATAAAACTCATTCAGTCAGTCCTTTCACAAAACATTATGCCTGGTACAGAAATTTCAGAATGGCAAAATGGTGCAGTCCTTATCTCACCAGTTTTGTACTTGGCAGATGTTCAATTTTCATTATGCAAAATATACTGACTTCTTACATTGATATTATTAAAAATGTGTATAAGTAGTATGCATATTTTCATTGAAATTTTGCATTTTGGTTTAACTTTACTTCCACAATGCTTCAAATATTTCTTAGTAAAGTTCTTATGCTAATTTACTGTAAACTTCATTTTCAGTGTAGTGAATGCAAACTAATGATGTAAGTGTATAATGAACATAAATTAAATTGTAAAGCTCTAATGGAAAAGTATTAGATTTATCTGAATGATAAAAGAGGCTTGCTTAATGCATTCCTTTTAATGGGCATTTTATAAATAAATCCCAGTAATAAAATTTGATATAAAAGTTTATTAATTTTGTAACTATCACGAAATCCTGGAATTACAGTGAGTTATGAAGCCCATGTAGAGAAAAAGATTTTGCAATAAAGCCTGTATGTGCCTGCTGTCTGTGTATTTTTAATTGAAGACAATAGATCTAGCTGAACTTATTTCTTATAGTTTAAAATACTCATTTAGCCATAAACTCATGTCATGAAATTATAGATCTTTAAGATTGTGATGAGGTTATTTTTTACTGCAAAAGATTTCATTCAATTATGTAACTTTAACCCTCTTGACCAGCAAGGTTGCATATATGCGTTTAAAAATATCGGCTGTTTTGCCAGCAAGGCAGCATATATGTGTCCAAATATTTTGGTCCCCATAACAGGAAGGCATAATATATATGGAAACCTGATTTGGGGCACAAAGCAGCATATATACAGCCTGTCTCGGAGTGCCCTTCACTCTGCTTTTAATTTAAACTGATAATGGGAAACTAAGTATATGCTAGAAGCAGAGAGGTTTTTTCGTTAAGATTTGAATAACAACTTGGAATAAATAGCTCGTTTAAAACCTCCGTCTTTTCTGTATATATGCCAGCTATAGTAAAATGAAATGTTATGTACACTAACAGAATTTTCATTTTCCAGCCTAATTACTCTTCAAATTTTAGGTCATGTAACTGCAATTACAATTAAAATTTAAAATGCAACAGGAATTGAAATAATAATTTGAAAATATGTGATTCCAGTTACAGTGCAATTATAATTAGACTATGTAATTACTTTGTAATTGCATTTACAGACATTATAATTATATAATCTAATTACACTTATAAATTTTATTACATTGAATTACAATAAAACTGTAATTGTAAATACATTATATTAGCTAATTACAATGTAATTTTAATTGCAATTGGGAAATTAAATAGGAAAGTTAACTGCCCCTGATAATTGAATTTATGTATCGTAATGAAATCATGATCATAATTGTATTTGTAGTATCAATTGCATTATAATAACATTATGCAATTATTTAGTTAATACTATTACAAGGTAGCTGTTTAATTACAATTTGCGCAATTCCATTTAAATTATAAATACGCTGTAATTGTGAAATAAAATTTCATATTCAGTGCAATTGCAATTATATAATCTAATTACAATTACACCTTAATTGTAACTGCTGTAGGTAATTATAATTATATAATTAAGAAAGTAATTGCTTCCGATAAATATAGTTATGTAGCCCAGGAAAGTCATGGTCTTAACTGCAAATGTAACTGTAGTATGCAATTATTTTATAATTACAATTAAAATTTATGCAAATGCATTAATTGTGAAATCTATTTGGGTATACAGTATGATTGTAATTATGTAATCAAAAAAGCAACTGCCTCTTACAGTTTCAGTGACATCGTAATCGTATTTGAAAATTACAGTAAATCATATATCCGAAATGTTTCTCCATTTTGGATGATTAGTTTTAAATAATAGAACAAGATATTCATCTCTGAGAAAAATATTGCTCGTTTCTGTCTGGAATCATCCTGCATGTATTGCAGTCTGCCAAGATTGTAATCCTTTTTTTCTTCCTTCTCGCTAAGGTATGCAATAGCTGGTGCAGTTTCCCCAAATGCATTGTATCAGTTTGCTGCAGACAGCTTGTCCTAAGAGGTTTCTTATCTTTTGGTTGCTCGTGAAATTTCGTTGTTGATTCTTTTGTTGTACAGTGTTCTTTTAAGCTTTAAACAGAAATAAAAGTGCAGTTTAAAAATTTAAGGATTATATTTATTTTTAATCAATTTATTCCTTGTTATAAAAATAACGGAAATAAGCAAAATCTCAGTTGTGATCATAACAAAGCCAGAATAGTTTTATAAAGAACAGGGTCAACGGCTAATGGAATCTTTGTTAAAGAGTACAAAGGATGTCATTCATTTTCTGCATTAATGGACAGGGAGGGGAGTAAATTGCTGTGAAACTGGAAAAGTATTTTAGGTGGTTCAGTATTTTGAGGGTACAGGTTAGCCAAGGGTCTGGATTTCAAAGAGTTAAAAGAAGTAATATCGGCTATTTTATATAGGCCTAAATGCAAATATATGCATGTGACTATGAATTATAAGATTAAGCAAAAGCAAGCAAAGAGTGTATGCCATAGGGATGCTTTTGCAGTGGGTTGTTAAGAGAAGCTAGGTTTTTTTTTAAGTTGCTTAAGAATTAAATCGTTGAAACTTAATTTGGCCTTTTCTTTTCAATAATGGGATAATCAATGATTAAATTGAGTATCGTAATTTTATCCAACTGGTTGCTTTAGCAGGTAGAAAAATGACTGCAGTAAGTTTGCTTAATTGCTGTGTGTATTGCAAGAATCTTGACAAAAATGGTAATAATAGCTTTATGTATAAGCAGCTCTTTTTCAAGCACAGACATAAATTAGACCACCTCTTCAGAAAATCAGTATTATCTGGAACTCTTTATATATAGGTAGATAAGGGCTTATTACATCTGTAAACTGTAATTTGGGGGAGATAGAAAGCACTTGGGATTATAATTGTAATTTTTTATTGATTTTTCATTTTTCAAACTTGTTTTGAGCATTTGTGGCTATAATCAGCATGATTGTGCTGATGAGAAAAGCAGCAAACAACAGATTGCACTTCATTTTTAGAAGTACTGAGAAGCTGTTGATATGAATGTAATTTTATTGTTTTGCAATTTTCAGGTTTTCAAGGAACACAATCTTACGGCTATCAACCAACAGGTGGTGCTGGGTCACAGCAGTGGGGTGGAGCCCAGGCAGGTTCTGCAGGAAATCCAGTTGGACAACCACCAGCTGCTGAACAACCACAGTGGTCTCAATTTTATCAGCAACAACCGTCACAACCTAATCAGTACTTTAGTCAATATTATGGACAGCAGACTGCAACAACTACACCACCATATGGATCTGTGTATGGTGCAAAATGAAAAAGCCTTCTGTTGGGTGTACAGATAATTTCACTTTTTTCTTTTATCACATTGTACATTAAACTAGAATAAAAGCATCATAACAAGGGGGAATTACAACTTACTTGCAAAGTGTTTTTCATCTCATTTTCTGATTGTCATGAACATTTTGGAATTCTCTTATCTCAAAATTTTTGAGAAACATCAGTAAATTCATTGTTCTCAATAATAGTTTAATTGAAAATGAGCACCATTGTCTTAAGCAATTTCATTGAAAGATCATTTTTAGGGTTATAGAAGTACATGTAGATAATTTTTTTATAAATATTGAAAAAAAAATGTGGTTTGATAATTGACACGCAACTTCCTTTAGTTTTATTGTCATACTTAGATCAGCTGTCATACATTTTGTAAACATTTGAAAAGTCTTGTCTTTTTCTGAACTGTATTTTGTAAAACAGTGTTCATTCCAGCCATTCCTTTTTCTAAAATAATTTGGGCGGCATTTATTTTTTGCAAATTTCAGAAACTTGGTAAATATAAATAGAATTGACACGACATAATTTTGCACAATTCCTTATAATTAACTGTCAAATTACTTATAGTATTCTTTAATTAGGTTGCTAATGTTGAATCTGTAAAAGTAGTTATGTTGATTTCTAGTATTCTATACCTAGAACATCATGTTTTATTTACCACTTGAGAAAAATATAGTTTGCTTCTTTTTTAGACTTTATGTTGAAAATAGATTGTGGATATAGAGCTGAGAACATCTGTCTGCATATGCTAGCAGAAGCATTATTCATCAAGCCATTAAATTTTCATTTTACATCAACCATTTTATGGTCCTGTACATATGTCAAATTTAAAAGGGGTTAGTCATTACTTAATTCAAAGCTTACAGTTTTTTGAATAATTATGTATCAGAACTTCAAAATGCAGCATGGAATTTGGTGAGGTTTTTTTCCCCCCCACCACATATTCAGTATTGTCATTTAGGGGTTCTCTGTTCTGTATTAATAGAGAAAAATTTACCATATATTATTGTTCTACTTGGCAAGGGTGATTTGTTTCAGCTCAAATTACAGGCACATATAAAGTGTAATGGCACTGTGTTTCTATTGACATCGGTAAATTTAAATAACTTATTATTAAATAAGTACATAAAATGCATTCAATAATACGTATTTTCTATTCAATCTTTACCTTTTTAAAAAAAATTAAATTGGATAATTTATTTGTGGTAAAATAACGTCTCCTTTTCATTTTGCACTATATACATACATACACATTAAATGAATTCAATTTTTTTTTTTTTTTTTTTTTTTTTTTTGTATTTGCAGGAAATTTTTATTTCTGTTATGTAAATTATGGAATAACTTCTTGATCATAATTCAGAAAAATATTACAGAAAATTAACCATTGATACTGAAATTAATCTCGAAGCACTTTTATTGAACTATATCCGCAAGACATTTGCTTTTCAACTTAAAAGCAACAAATATGACCGAATTTGAAAATCTTCACTGTTACATGTTTGAGTTTCATTTGCCTGTTGTCTTCAAAGTTTTAAAGGAGTGTTTTACTGAGATAAATTGTATCCTTGTGTAAATATGATGGTTAAGTCAGAATTTTAGTTGTTGAGACTCGTACATGCTTTGTTTATCAGTTCTTTGTGTATCTGAAGATTAAATACAATCTAAATCAATGTTTGATCAAAATCTGCAGATGGCTATAATTCAACCAAAGATTTAAAACATTGAGAAAAAGCAAAGTACAGAAATGTTTTGTCAATAAGGAAATGTATGACTAGAATTAACAGAAATGCTTAAATCATTATTGTAAAATTCACTAGTGGAGTGTATATAGGTTTTTACATACATAGTAATAAAGAACAGATGTTCTTTTAGTGGTTAATAAATTTTGTTTCTCTTTGAAACTAAATTTACTTCTTGATTTAGTTTTACTCGTGTTTTTTCTGCTTATAAATCGAACTGTGTAATCATTTTAATAATTTTACTGGATATTCTGCATCTTGATTTACTGGTTAGATGTCACCAGAAGAAAGAAAATAGTTAGTGAATTAATTATAAAGGAAGTTAGATTTTTTTTTAAATTTTCCTGCATTATGAGTGTTATATATCTATATATATTAAACTTGTATATGTTACAAGTAATTTTTTGCTCTTATAAAGCAATAAATTCGATCTGTAGGTTTTGGTTTGCATTACAAATTTTATTTTGCATCTTTTGTGACCGATTTATTTACATTTTATTCCTCTCATAGTGCAAGAGTATATGTGGTGCAGTCAGAAAGATTCAGTCATTTGTCATTGATTGTATTATATTTTGCAATTAAAAGCTAATTTTTAAATTATTAAAATTTTGTTTTGACATACAAGCAAACTAAATTTTATTGATTTCATGTGTTTTGAGGTAAGGGAGTTTTCAATTTCCTTGCTTCATTGTTTATTATCTAACAGTGCTCAAGGGAAAAACGTAAATGATAAGCAGTACAGTGAAAATCATGGTTCACGTTCATTTCTGAAAATAGATGGTGAGTCAAAACACTTTTCCCCAAAGTACTTAATAAAGTATTTTGTATGTGCAAAATGTTAATTTTTGAAATGAAAATTCTGTTCCATAAAAGTATTAAGCTGCTGCCATTTTTGTCTCCCCTCAAACCTTTTTGGGGGGTGGTATTTTTCATTTTTCTTTAAACTCCGCTTGCCTCTACTTGAGAATTGCTGAGCCTTTGTCTAAAAAAATTGTCCGTTGTGATTTTTTATGTCTATATTTTAAAATATTTCTAGATCAAGACATGGCATTTTCATTGCTAATATTTATGTGTGACGTACTACTGTTTTATCGGGGTGATAATGTTCAGCAAAGTTTGCCAAGTTTCGTGGATCAACTGATTATTTGAAAATTTTTTCAACTACATTAATCATGTTTTGGAGTATCATTTGTTGCAGGCTGTCTTGTTTGTATCTTAAGATATCATCATCCAAGAAATTTTTCATCTTGAAATATTTTTGAGTCCAAGATTCCACTGTACTTATCTTGTGCGTCAAGAGAATCATTTAAACTTGGGTTCTTTTATTTAGTTTGTTTTATGTTATATGTCTTACTTTACATTATGTTATAAAAGTAGCTAATTCTTATTCACCCATTTTTTAAGTTTTTCAAACAAGCAAAATGTGAAATTAATTGTGGATTAAAAAGGGAAAAAATGTTTGTGAATTAAAAAGTTAAAAAAAAAAATTGTGTGCTCTTGTCAAAGAAAAAAAGTATTAAAATTTTTCTCCAATGTATTGTTTATAAATAGAAAGACACTTTTCTTAATAAGTATAAAAAGCTTTGAAATAATTTACTGGCTGCTAATTATACTGAAAATCGGAATAAATAGACGTACTTATTAAAGTGAACTTAAGTACATGTTTTATTATTTTATTGCCAGTTTCTTTTCCTCTTTCGTTGTTCTTAAATTCAATGAAGTGTAAAAGTATTATTTATTATGATGAATATAAATTTAAAATAGGGAATAATGGAAATATTAGTTTCATTCAAGTTTATATAAATTGGTAATGCATGTCGCTGTCATTTACGTCAATTCTTATGTTTAATTCTGTATTCAACTATTGTTATATAATTTCACTTTAGTAAAAGAAAAAATTATAAAGACTGCATACATTTAAATAGACAAAAGAAAACTGTAAAGTTTGGCTTAAACGAGAATTGATAGAGACCAAATACAGTTTTTATTCAACAGATATTGCATATTAAACAGTTGTGCGGATTTTCATGTACTGGAATGTCTCTGATCATTTCATAATATTTGGTTGAGTAATTTATTATATTGGAAACCTGAAATGTATTGATTTTTGTTTTGAATCTTCAAATCTTGTGTAACGGTGTAACCATTTGTAGCATAAAGAGTTGCCAAAATGAAACAGAATTTTATTGATTTCTGTTAGTAACTTACTTGGAGCCTGTAACAGTTTATTGCTTAGATTACACACAGGATGTAGAGACTAATGCATAGGTGTCATTTTCTTTGATGATACCCCTAAGTTAAAACAAGTAGCTTTGGAACACCATTCATATAGAAAGTATATATTATATATATATATTATATATAATAGATATATAATTTCTTCTACGACATTAAATATCAGCTCCATTTGCAAAAAGAGTGTTTGGTTACATTACCATATCTATTTGCTTCTCTTCCACTGAGTATTTTTCAATGATATTAGGTTATTTTTTTATATGTGGTGGTGTCTAATAGCATGAGCGCAAAAAAAGTCTACTATAATTTGGGCAACTCTTATGCAGTTAAAACTGTTTTAATTGTGTTAAATAGAGCTTTAGTGTGCTCTTTTTCATATTAATACCTGCGCAACGATTATTGCATTAAATGCATTTATATATATTTATGATGTTTTGGATACTTTATTAATTTTTCCAGACTTGTATGATAAGACAGAAACTTTTGCCTCTTTTGGTTGTAATTTTTTAAATGAATATGAGTGAAAGGTCTAATTTAACTGTTTTATGAGAATGTAAATGATGAGTATTGACTTTAAATTTTTGGCCATGTTTGAATTTTTTTATAGTAAGTGTTTTCTGTAAAGTAATAAGTATTGACAGTCCTATTGTAATTTTAGTTGTTGTGAAATGTATATTTGACACTGGAGATTTATCATGATGAGAATATAGTCTCTAATGTTTTTTAAGTAATTTGACATTTATATTTAGTTTTGTAGATCACTGCATTTGCAGTTAAATGTTTTCTGACTTCTTTGAATAAAATTATTTGTGTCTATGACATTTATTTTTGTGTCATGTCATATTGACCTCTTTGAAATATTACTGGGAAAAAGTATTTTTGTGTCTCTGACAATAGAATGTGAAATAAAATTTTGTGTTCAAACATTGTCTGTACCTTCTTTGTTGTGTAATTTTAATATCATAGTTAAGCGTGACCTTGTAGAAATTAGTTTTAGATTTAGTCTGTTAAGTAGGTATGTCTTATGCAGTCAAAAGTCATTAATCGGGACTTCAGCGATTTCCGGATTATAGATCATCAGTTTAAATCTGGTAAGATGGCATGCAGAAATTATAAAATAAAAAATATGAAACTGTAATTTATGAAATTAAGAACAATTATGATCTAAAGGGATCAAAATTTACAACAAAAAAAGGCTTAATATTTATTTGTTTACTTTATTAAACATTTCTTTCAATGTAAGTTGTTTAAGTTGCTTCGTTTTATGTGATAATACTTTCTCTTTAATTCTATAAACAACATAATTTCTTGTTCAGTTACAAAGTTCCGCTGTTCAAGTCCTATAATTGCTGTGTCGAGAATACCGACTAATTTGTCAATCAAAATTTTTTCGTTTTCAATAACCTCTGTGTCACTTTCTTCACTATCGGAAGCGAATTATAATGAGGAAGAATTTGATTTAAATCATATCAAAGACGGAGTACATCGAGATGAAATACTACATTTAGTAAGGAATTATAAGCCAAATAAAATTAAAACATCTGCCCTGAGGATAAGGATATTCCTGACAGATCAACTTCCATTTCATTGCGTGCCGCGGCGTGAAATTGATAAACAGATTTCGGAATGGTTAGAGAAACAAAGGATATGCCTTTATCCATTTTTTGCAGCTATTCCACTTTTTGTTTGATGGACATCGAAACATACTTTCGCTTTATAGATCCTTTGGGAGCTCCAGCATTGGAAATTCTATTTGACATAATCGAAAGTTCAAGCTTACTTTTATAAAATTGCTCTAACACTCTGCAAAAATTAATAAGCCGGATTCAATTCGAAGATTAAGGAACAACACAATCTGCAACATTAACTGAAATAGATAATTTTAGCTTATACCGTCCGTTATACATTAAACGCTCATGCGTAAACGTATTATGCGCACACGCATATGTCCAGCTGTAACGCAATGCATGCGCAGAAAGTTTGTAGCTTTGAGGTCCGGTTTATAGATCATTCTGGATTATGGGTGTCCGAATTAACGACTTTTGACTGTATTTTGTTTGTCGAAGTGCATTGCTTGATGATTGCTAAAAAGCAGCAGATTTATGTGGTATTCCTAATAATATAATATAATTATCTGTATCAGAAATGTAAGTATAGAGTATATGGTGTGAAATCGTCCTCCCCCCCCCATATGAAAGGCAGTATACACGTTTATTCATTCTCAGCTTCTAGCAGCGAAGCGAGGGCAATTGTATAATTCCAGCGTAGCCACGTAGTGTGCATTGGCTGTGCTGAGGGAAGATTAATTATGGTACCACAAAACAAATGTTTGCCTATTCCATGGTTTTGAATCTACAAAGCATTGTTAGTAGAACTATGATACGAGTTGTTCTCGTGAGTAACTTTCAAATAAGTTTTTTTTCCAAACTAAGAAACTTAACTTTTGTATTCTAATTTTGAAAAAAATATATATATATTTGTGTGACTTTCACAAAACTTCTGCCATGATTTAAGACGTAACATTGAACTATTGAATAAAATCAGGAAAAGGCAGATTTTTGTGTCAAAATATGGATGTTAGAATAGTGCCATATAAAAATCTTAATACGTATCCGATGTTGCATTTAAGATAAAGGGAAAATTTTACACTTCAAAATTGTTTTCACTCAATGTACATTTAAAAACAAGGGGCGGAATAAATCTTCAGCACTTCGGGCAATAAAAACAAATCTAGTAAAGTAACTATCCTAAAATTCAGTTGAAGCAATTCTTTTGATAGTTCAGATTTAAAACAATACACAATAAGTCTTGCTCTAAAAACACAGTAAAAATTCATTTATTTACAAGTTCTTGAGGTTACTGAGAGCAAATGCTCACTTGCCGGTAAATTATGAAGGCCCATTATAGACCATTTTAACTGCCTAAACTCTTAACATAGAATTTATAACAAATACTTAACCATTTTTCAATTATTTGGATTTCCAACAATCGCATTGCAATTAAAGAAATAAAGTACTTTTACTATGCTCTTCTAAAGTTTTTCCAAACTAAGGTTTCTTGAGTAAATTATCAATATAAAGAATAGATGAATAAAAGTACTTTTAGCACATTACAATTAAAGCTAAATGCAAGATTGCAATTGAATGAATACAATAAAGAATAAAAAGGTTTAGTTTTATGAATAACATTGTTTATTCTCAGTTTTTCCAATTCATTCATTGAGCTTTAAATTCCAAAATAATTGAGCCAGTCTTATTAGTCTAGTACTAGTTTTAGCGAACTTTGCCATCTCTTCCTTGGAAACTCTATAATTCTACTTGGAGACCACATATTTCTTGGGTAGTATTTTGTGATAAACAGTTGTCATTTGGTTTGGATTCGGTTATATTTGATTTTTGCTAGCACTTATTAGCAGATCTCAAATTTAATAAATAACATTTGCACCAGCATTTCCAAAAGTTATGGAACACATTCTGTTGATGTTTAAATTTTTTCATGATTTATTTCAGTGTTTGTGTGCTTGAATGATTTTGTATTATCACTGTATAGTGTTATGGATTTGGTACTTAAATAGTTAATATTAGTAGAATTATAAATAAAATTGTTTTATTCCTCGTGCAGTGCATCGCGTGATGAATATTAAAAGAAAGCTTAGGCGGAAGATTAAAAATACAAAAGCACATGCATTTAACATTTAATAAAGATTCCTTTTTGATTTCGAGAAATTTCTAGAGCAATCTCACGTGTGGTTTAAAAACCTTGTAAAAAGGAGGAAAACCTCATAGTTCAATTAGTTGTTGTTTTAAGAGTTTGTATAGAAAACTGCTCTTGTTGACTGTAGCGAATTCACGGATTAGCTTTCTCTAGCTGTATGAATTGAGTTCTGTTGAATGTTTCAGTAGTTAAAAGAACTACTGTGAGATATTGTAATACTGTAAGAATATCTGAGGAAATTTAAGCATTTGGTTTTATTTGCTGTAATAATAATAAATTTTGTTCATTTTTCATCGGACTTGTGCATTCAATTCATAACAAAACCGTACGCACGCAATAATATTTGGTGTCGGAATTGGGATTTGAATGCCAGTAATAACAGCGATGGAAGAACAATTAAGGCAGTTGATATCAGCCTTTGCCTCGGTTAAAGCAGAGATGAAAGATTCTGTTAAAGAAATGAAAGAAGGACAGGAATGTTTACCTTCATGGAGGAGAAGTAAGATGGAGTCGCCCTAAAAAGTTTCTCCGTACCCTGCTCTGAAGCACCGGCGATCCCTACGTTGGTGACCAAAACATTCGGTCATTTACCATTGAGATCTATGGGATTTTGACGCATTCGGGTTTGTAAATATTTTGTAATTACGTCGCAAATATACATATAAATGTATATATTTTCTTTTTCTACAACACTTCAGAGTCCTAAGTATGAAAAAAACAAACATTTCATTCTGAACGGAAATTAAATGCTATACTTTTCAAGGACAGTTTTCTCAGAATGGTTTAATTTGAATGAAATATTTTCACAAGTTTTCGTTAATTACATTAGAAAAAAAAATTAAGGTAATTCGATTTTATTCGGTTAAGGTACAAAAATAAGATCAAAGTTTATTGTATATTAATATTAAAATTATGCATTATTTCTTTTCTATTTTATAGAGCTTCTTCCTAAAATACTTTCTTAAATATGACATGATTTTGGGCTTTCTTTTAAATCGAAAAAATGTAAGTCAATTTATATAATGCTTATTGGTTCATTTTAATAGGAATTTCGGAATTAGCGAATACTTTAAATTAAGTATTTCGAATTCCTATAATTAAATAGGTATTAATAGTATTTGACTTTCTCTGAATATTTCTGAAAGGGAATAAATAATTTTTTTTTTTTTTTTTTTTTTTTTTTTTTTTTAAAGTATTATTTAAAAAACTTGTAACTGAGTTATTATAAAATGTAAAGGGAAATAATTCTTTTAATTATACTTATCAGATTTTTTTTTACCCTTCATTTCAACAATACATATTCCAAACTCTTTATTACGTTCTTAAGTGCGCATCTCATAGCATTTGCTTTACAATACCTTTTAACAGATTGCTTTCCAATACGAACAATTCTTGCTTAAATAGTTTTATAACGTATTTGTCAACAGGATTTCAATTTATGTTTACAATTCAATATTAAGGTTATTATATATTTAGATAACATTTATAATTATTATAAATTAGATAAATTTAATCATTAGATTTCTTCACAGTACTTTCACAGTTGTTTATAAGTGAATAAATTCTTCATTTCAAATACATTTATAAATAATTTAATGAATATTTAAGTATTTTGTCAAAGGCAGATACATGCTTTTTGCAAGCACATGCATAAATACCCATACATATTTCCTATTTATCATTTCCGGCATGTGCAAATCTTTAATTTCTGTGCATTCACTATACTTTTCGTGTAAAGTAATTTACACTAATTTAGCATACACCCGAAAGTTTTACATAAAAATATATATATGAATATAATTTGAATGAAAATTATAAGTATTATTTTTAATACCCACTCAAAGGTCGGTCGCCAAAAAGGTTGATAATTTAAGGAAATTCGTAGCGACGGCAGGGAGCAATTCGGATAGTTTTAAATTTTAACCCATGCCTACTTGTCCCTCACTGAAGCTATCAACCTATGATGGGAAGATCTCCTGGCAAGTGTATAATTCTGAATAGTGGTGGAAACAAACGGATGGGATTCCCAAACTATGGCCTGTCATATCACCTCTAAACCAAAGGCTAGATTTCAAAGCTCGGATAATCTTTGGATTATGGTAACTTGACGATTTTTTGGCGAAAATTTGGTGACCAACCCTGCTACAGCAACCTGCTAGTTTTTGTTTGGATGCCGTTATTTTTTAATTATTAATTTCACGAAGTAAAGGCA